TTATAAACATATGAATAGTAAAAATGTAGCCAAATGGGTGGAAAAACTTAGGGACCAAAACAGATCTTCCTGTGGTAGCAAAAGGTGCGATGAAGATACGAAACATATACTTTACTTCTGTCTTCACCGAAGAAATGGATACTGCTAATGTCACAGTAAAGAATGGGGTGGTAGAGAAATTGGAGGGATGGTAGTAAAAAAGGGGTGCTTTAAAAAATTGGTACTACTCAAATAGAAGAGTCAAGTATCTATGATGACCTGCATCCTTGATTGCTGCAGGAAGTAAAGTGAGAAATTGCAGAAGTTCTGACTACAGTCTTCCAAACTGCAGTGATGCTGGAGGACTGGAAATGTTACAGATCAGAAAATGAGAGATGGACAAACCCAACAATTGCAGCCTGGCTAATTAAACCTTGGTGGCAGAAACACTTCTCAAGGTAATAGCTGAAAGAAATTTCGTTGGCATTTGGAAAAATAATCAGTTAATAAGTGACAGCCAACATTGATTTGGATAGAGTCATAGAGATGTACAGCACGGAAACAGACCATCCATGCCAACCAGATATCCTAAATAAAACTAGTCCCATTGGCCAGTTTTTGGCCCATATCCCTCTAAACCCTTCCTATTTATTTACCTATCCAGATGCCTTTAACTTGTAAATCCACTCTATACTTTTCTATCACTATTTTAAAACTAATAGAATTATGGTCACTGGCCCCAAAATGCTCCCCGACTTATACCTCAGTCACCTGCCCTGCTTTATTTCCCAAGAGTAGGTCAAGTTTTGCACCTTTTCTGGTAGGTACATTCGCATACTGAATCAGAAAATTCACAAACTTATCAAATTCCTCTCCATCCAAGTGAGGCAAGTGATATTTGACTTACTTGGTTGAGTTATTTTGTAAAGTAACAAAGTGAGTTGATGAGGCAAATCTGTTTGATGCATTTATAGGCTTTCAAACTCTGTTTGATAAAGCACCGTGTGTTAAAATTGAAGCCTGTGAAGTTAAAGATAAAATGTCTGGTGTGGGTACATAATTAGCTAAGGGACAGAAAGCACCAACTAGTGGTGAGTGGTTATTTTGCATTCAGTGGTGTATTCAGAGCTTAGTGAAGCAAGGATTGGAGCTGGGATATCTGTTCTCTCTGATTATATATTACATGTATATCTTAGGTATGCAGGATATTACAGAACAACATTATCAGATCAGCTATGATCTCATGGAATGGCAGAGCAGACTCGATTAGCTGAATGGCCTACTTCAGCTCCTACATCTTGCAGACATCATTTAAAAGTTTGCAGATGACGTGAAACCCAGAGATAAAGAAGGCAGTGAGAGGGCCAGTAACAGACTCAAGGAAGGCTTAGACAGTATGGTGAAATGTGTAGACAGAAAACAGATGAAATGTAATGCAAAGTGTGAAGTGATTCATTTTGAGAGGGAGAATGAAGAGAAGCAATGTGAGGTCAATGGTACAATTTAAAATTCACTTTTGTGAAGACATATGAGTCGGAACAACTAGAACTGTATGTACAAAAATCTTTAAAGGTGGAAGACAAGTTTAGGAATCTGTTTAAAAGGCACATTTGATCCTTAGTTTTATGAGTGGCATGGAATATAAAACAAAGAAATACTAATTTTTTTTGAGGAGTGGTCAGTTCCCAGCTGCAGTATTGAGGTAAATTCTGGACACAACGTGTTTGAAAGATGTTCAAGTCTTGGAGAGGATGATTTACAAGATGGTATGAGGGGCTTCGGTTACCTGGGGCAATTAGAGAACCTTGAGTGGTCGCTTTTGGAGCAGAGAAGGTTATGGAGAGAATTGAGGAGAGGAATTCAAAATCTTGAAGGATTTTGATAGAGTAACAAAAAAGGAATTATTTCCAAGGACCAATAGGTGGAAACCAAAGAGAAAAGATTTGAGATAATGAGCTACTGATCAGAAATGACATGAGGAAAATAGAAATGTGAAGGAAGTCGCTTTAATCTGAGATATAACTATCCGAAAATGCCAAATCTGAATAAATGGTTGGAGCTGATTAAATGATAAATTTCAAGAGGGAATTGGATGAATACTTGTAGGGGTAGGTGGGTACAGGCATGATGGGTTGAATAGTTTTTTTTATGTGGTATCATTTGTGTTCTTGCTTTGCTTCTTTAAAAATTAGAGCAAATTGTATGAAAATTGAAATGTGATTGTGTACCTCTTGACTTAATTCAGTGGTAATAGCATTTTCTATAGAAACTCAACTGAACACTTTATTTACTGTACATTTTCTTAGCACATTAATTAACTGTTCTGTGCAATTTGAGTTTTCAACAGATTTGACAAGGTCACCTGATATTTTGTTTTTTTTTTAAAAATGGTAGCTTGTATTTGTATAGCTTATTTGCTGTTGTAAAACATTCCAAGGCGTTTCTCAGGAGTATTATCAAACCAAATTTGACACTCAACCATGTAAGGACATATTAGGGCTGATGTTTAAAAGATTGGTAAGGAGGTTTGAAAGAAGAGTGTCTTAAAGGAGGAAATGCAGAAAGTGAGGCAGGGAAATTCAGGAAAGGCATTCCAGAGTTTAGTGACTCGATAGCTGAAGGTGCAATCATCAAAGGTCAAGTGATAATAATCAGAGATGCTTAAGAGGCAAGAATTGAAATGGCACAGATATCTTGGATATTCATAAAATCATGATGTGTGGAAGCAGGTCATTTCGCCCATCGAGTTTACACTGGCCCTCCAAAGAGCATTCCACCCAGACCCAACCCCCAACCCTATCCCTGTAACCCTACATTTCCCATAGCTAACTCACCTAGGCTGCACATCCTTGGACACTATGGGCAATTTGACATGGCCAATCCACCTAACCTCTGCATCTGGAGGAAACCCATGCAGACACGGGGAGAATGTGCAAACTCCACACAGACAGTCACCCAAGAGTGGAATCAAACCCAGGTCCCTGGTGCTGTGTGACAACAGTGCTAACCACTGAGCCACTGTGGGAGTCATCAGAAATGATGGTTCAGGGCAGGAAGGGAAGCCATTGTAGCTGTTTCTTTGACCAAGAGAACCAACAATATAGCAGGGTTGGAATATATTACAAAAATTCGAAGACATGAGGTCAAAAACAGAGAGGACAAAAATGATGGGAATTTAAAATTGAAGCATTGTTTACCAGGTGTCAAAATAGGTCAGTGAAGAGAGGGGTGATGGATGAATGGGAAATGGTGAGAGTTAGGACATCTTGGATAACTAAGTTTATAGAGGTAGAATGTGGGAGGCTAGGAGTTGGGCAGGTGAATTCGAGAGGTAACAAAATCATCATTGAGGGTTTCAGCAGCAGTTGAGCAATGAAACAGATGGAGTAGGGCAGTGTTACAGAGGTGTTAGTCAGTGTTCTGACTGTTGGTGAGGCTGTACAATCAAATTCTTATGCTGAGGTCTGATTTGACTTTAATGTTGTGCCTCGGCCTTAGACAATTGCTGGAAAGAGAGATAGAATCTGTTATAAGCAAGTGGAGTTTATGGTGCAGTCTGAAGATGATGATGACCTTCCCAATATTTTGTTATAGGAAATTTCTGTTCATCTAATGTTGTATGCTAGACAGTCTGGCAACTTAGAGACACTAATGGTGAGGTAGAATAGAATCTCTTCAGCACACATGCAGAAACTAATATTGTGATCAATTGCTTCAGTGATGTCAGTGAGGGGATTTGTGTAGATGAGGAGTAGGAAGGGACAAGGAAATGTCTGTGGGAGTCATCAGAACTGGTGGTATAAGGCAGGAAGGGAAGGCATTGCAGCTGTTTCTCTGACCAAGAGAAACAAGTAAATGTCTTCCTCTCAAAAATCGCATTTTGCCTCTATCACTGGCTTACACTTGCTTCCTGTTATAACAAAACATTTCCCCATCCACCCTGCCCCAATTCTCTATTCCTGTTTCTCTGAAGGAAGCTTTTAAATTGCTGATTTTCTTGTAGAAGAGTAAGAAGATGTAGAATTTACAGATCTCGTGTTAAGTAGTATGTACAGCCAACAATATCTCTTAAATCTTTGCATTCAGGCATGTCTCTGAAAATACTCTGAGCACTAATGAGGAAATATATCTACATATTCTTGTTCAGGTATCCCTCAGATGACAGTTTTCAACTCTTTTGTGGCAGTATTTTTGTTTGTTGAAGCTGGACAATTAAGGTCTTGTGCATTAGATGGAAAATTTTGTCTGTAATCGTCATCATTTAATTTATCCACTTACTAAAAATGAAATTATAGAATATATATTTATTCCAGAAGCATTTCAGTGAAATAAGTTTAGTTTAAGACACATTTTCACTAAACTGTTTAGAACCAACCTGCTTGGATTTAGTTTACATGCTGTTGACTTTAAGCTGAAGTAAGCTTAGTTGAGCTTCAAAGGTGGGTCATGGGCAGGTCTTTGTTCTGTTTTCCCATCTTGTCAATTGTAAATTATAAATTGAAAAATGGAAAAGTAAATGTGTGAAACCATTCACTGGCTTAGAGTGAGCACAAGTGCTTGAATAAACAATGATAGAGTTGAATCATATGTATAACAATTCAGAAATTAGAGTTTGGGTAGGAGCTGCTGTACATGACTCCTTGTGTGAATCTCATTGTACACACATACTGCATTAAATGGAGATTCATGATACAAACCATCATTAAGCCAACTCAACGTACCACTTAGACTTAAAATGTTTACAATGATTGTTTTAAAAAATAAGTTAAGCTGCTTTAAAGAAAGGCACCTTCAGTAATTTAATAAGCAGTTTGATTTTCACAGCTACTTCTATGTTTGGTTAAATTAAACATTTGAAACATTGGGTAGAGTAAGTTGAAGGTACTTGAGTGGTTCTCCAGGGTATTTTGAGAAATTTCACGGACAAGATACGGGATAAGCAATTATTGTTACTCTTTTATTTCTGAAATATGAATAGTGACAAAATGCTATAATTCGTATCTTAAATTGTCTCCTTGCAGACATTACACTACAGTGGCTTATTCAGCACTCCAAATCCAGGCACTGTTGAGGTTGGTCTCCTGTTGTAGAAGATGGTAAACTGCTTGTCCATCCAATGTACCTTGGAAAGAAGTATGGAAAAGTAAAGCCTAACTCAGCTGGGCCTGAGTCTTTCAATCCCAGTCCTTGTTATTATGGACTTCTAAGATTTCTTCTTTGCGTTCCTTTGACTTCAGGTCATTTTCTACGTTTAAGGAAAGTTGTGCCATTCAACAGTAATGATGAGTAATCATAAATTATTTCTGTAAGCCATGGGCACATGGCTTCTTTATTTAAGAGATGCCTCTGAAAAAAAGATCCACAGAAAATGTCTATACCCTTTTTAATAGGACGATATCCTGATTGTGTGTTTCTCATTTTGCATGTGATGTATTAATATAGAGCAGTATTTCAATGTATGATTACTGATCCAAAAGAACTGACCCTATTTATAACAGCAATGGTTTGCTTGACCAGTGAAGATATGTTCCTGCTAAATTGAAAGTAGTTATGTGAATGTACAAGCAGGAGAGCAATATTTTGCTGATTGATGGGGATGCTTTCACTTTCCTATTTTGACAATATCATGGATCGCACTTTTATACTAACACCAATATAATTCTGTCAAATGGTTTTCCATCCATCTCAAAGGCCATCTACATCCACAGGGTAGCAGGGAAATTCAATTGACATTTCCTTCATAGCTTAATTGCTCTTTCAAATTATTTGCATTCATCAAGACATAAGCCATAAATATAACCTAATGATTTCATGCAAATTTGAAAGAAGGCTGCAAATTGATTTTATTGTGTGGAAGTGATATGCACCATTCCAAGTTTCATCTTTTATTTCGTGAATCTCAATATGAGAACAGCACAAGATAAGGCTATTATCAATGTTTTAGTAGATATGGAACATCAGACACTGCCAAGTGGAGGATAATAGTATCTGGATTGTACCACAATGACAGCAAATTTGAAATACATCCAACAGTTGCTTGAAAGTGCAGTCTGATGGTCACAATCCTGTTCCAAATTGGCATGTTACACTGTGAGATGCAGGTTTTAGTCCAATTTGATGTCATAATTGTCTTTTCTACTATAGCACTTAAACAAGACTGTAATCAAGATCTTTTCAAACTAGCTATGTTCTTTTACAGTACCAGAGACTTTGCCACTTACTTCACATTTCAGTTCCCTTTTATATTTGTTCTTCTATGTAGAACAGTTAAATTGCAAACTCATGAGCTGTATGTTACATCATCTTAATCCTTTTTTAAAAAGGCGTTATGCAAAGGAGCATGGGTACATTGACACAAAAATAAGACTTGTCGTCAATGAGAATTAATTTACGTTCATCTGTACTGTAAGTGAATTGAGTAACTTCTAAATCTTTGTTTCTATCCAACCAATCCTCTTGCTCTATGATCCTTAATGTATTTTGATGGTATTAATTGACGAATAAGAAATGGCCCAGTACGTGAGGATAATTTGCTCCACTTTTATGTTCATCTGTAAAAGTAGGCTCTTGGTTTAACTTCTAAACTGAAAGATGAAAATGCAGCACTCTTTCAGTATTGCAATGAAGTGTCAGCCTAGATTAAGTGCTCAAGTGAAGTGGACTTTAAACCTATAACATCTGACTCTGAAGCATTGGGCCAGGCTACCTTGTGATGAATTGCTGAGTATAGTAATTTCTGATGGCAGTTTTTCCAGTGCTAAACCCTGAATTATGAAATATATTTTTATTCAAAAGATTTACAGGACCACACCTCTCCTGTTCTCCTTTTCCGTTGGTAAAATATGGTTATGATCTCATTTTTAAAATTATTCAAACCTGTAACTTGACAATGGTTAATCCGCATAAACTTTGAAAGCACTTTTCATTTTAGTTTTCCTGTATTTTAGCTCCCCTAATTAACAAGGCACTTTTTAAAAAAATAAAGTTGCAGTTTTATTATAAAGGATAGAACCTGTCAGTGAAAATTCTTACAAAACATGCCGTGATCATTTAAATAGTACTAGTCAAAGTTCAGAATAAGTTTTCAGTTTTTTCTGTTAGAAGCCAGTTCCTATGATCCAAGCAGAATTGTGGGGTTAGGGCCATTTTATAAGTTCCAGAGGATGGAATGCCTTCTGTATTTACTGTAAAACTTATTTTATACAACAGGTCAATTACCTTTTAGCTTCCATGGCAGTTAAGTAACATTTGGTGATGTAATTACTTGGGCATCATGAAGTTGCTCTTTTCCTAAAGCAGCACCAATTACAACAGAACCTGAAATTTAAATTTTAATATTACTTCGTGATGTAACATATTATTTAAAATGAATGTATTAGTTTGACACTGTATTTATGACTCATTAGACATGAACCTTGTCTGCATGGTGCTCGAGCAGGTATACTACACATCCCACTTTTTCTCTTTGTATTATTTATGTGCAATGTATTTTAAATTGCTTCATCCATGAGACATGTATTTTAACTGTATAAAGGTGAAAAATGAGACATAGCTCTAAAGTTCTGATCTCTTGCTCAGTATAGGAAAAAAAACTGGCAATTGGTAATTTGCATTGCAGTTGTTGTGCTGTCATAGCTGTGTTCAATTTAGGAATATAGATTTTAATGATATATTGAAGCAGTTTTGGTCATTAGAATCATAAGCATTTTAATCCAGTCTACCATGTTGGTGTGGTAACTCACATTGTTCTACTGTATAGAATGGAACATATACAGTATACACTTTCTTTCAAATTTACAATCACTGAAGACTAGTGACAGACAGCTCTAATGTGTGACAAATTCTACCGGAGTTTCTAAATAATGAATTCACACTCAAATTCTCTGTCTGCCAACTAAGGAATCACAATATTTCTAAGCAAAAACAGTATTTGATGAGTGAACGATAAAGAGAAGTATTATATAGATTGCATTGAAGGAGGCTAATGTGAAGTACAAACACTGGCATCAAACGATTGGGCTGAATAGCCACTTAATTCTGTGTAACCTTCCCATACCTGAGTGCTGGGACTATATGAACATTTCTTTCAAAGAACTAGCACAGACAAAATGGGCTGAATGGCCTATTTCCATGCTGTCTGCTTCTAAACGTGTCCGACATATTTTAAAAACACCGATAGACCGTTCGTTTTTCAGCTTTTACTTTGAAAAACTGTTTTGGTCTTGAACAGTATTCCAAACAATTTTTAGGCATCTACACAACAGCAACCCAAGTAGATACTTCAGACTGATGGTGCTAACTGGAGCAACCTGATCTTTGTAAGGATAGTAATTTTTTTCTTATATTTCCTAGGGATAGATACATATTAGTAGATGTTAGTGTGTATTCCTGCAAACTAAACTTAAAAATGCTATATATTAATGAAATGTAATGTTATTGAAGTTTGAGATAAATCTCATTACTTTAACTATCAAAACTGTAATTCCAATGGGTTTTACACACCTCAATTTTGTAGCTTAATTGCTTAGTTAAAAAAAACCTGGAATTTTGCTTAATGACCCTACACACCAGCTAAATTATGGATTAGACAAGAATTTAGGAGTGAAATAATTTGATATGCTATGTGCCATTGAATAAACCTACTACCATGATTGTTGTTTAACACCATACATTCACTGTTCAGCTACTGTAAACACACATTGGCTGTTCAATTACAATGCAGTGATACTGTCTCAGAGCTCAGATGACATAAATCACTCTTACTGTGGTTTATGTCATTTGAACCCTTGTCTTGTAATTTAAGAACAGGCACCTAGGATCCTGAAAATATACTGGCAGTGGGCAGCAAAATTACATCGCTGGTTGGTACTTGAAACTTTGTTAAATTTGAAACTAGTCACAAACATTAAATACTTTATGCCCACTTTCAAGGTGAAATGGCTCCTAGAGGATGCTGCATTAATCTAAAACAACTGGTCATATTAGTTTACATTGTACACAGAGGTTATCCACACACTTCAGTAATCTGGTGTTAGGTTTTCTCCTTTAATTTTGTTCTTTAGAATTAAAATAACATTTTTTTCTGATATGCATGAATTGTATCTCTCTTCACCTTGGTCGCTTCAGTGCCATAGGTATTTGCCCCAGTTGATCTCCTGTTTGAATATGGGCAAAGGAAGGGGCGAGTGGAAATATAGCAAGCCACAATTCCCAAGCAGAGTTGCCTCTTGTAAAACATAAATCTCTATTTATTCTATTATAATTCCCAAATCAGCAGAATATGGAAGCAATGAAGAGCATGGCAGCACGAGTACAATGCAGTCCTCACACTACTTCTGTTATGTGTAATGTTTTTAATGATGCAATGTATGGATTAATTTTTGCTTAAGCTGTCTGATACAGAAGTGTACAGATATAAACTGTGGCCTTAGCTTAGCATGTTTACAGTCTTTATCAATAATTACTTATTTTATTCATTGTACTGTACTAAATGCAAAGGTGAAGCCAAATTGTAGTCTTTTTTTTAAACAAGGTATTGTAGTAACCCAATACGTCAGTGACACATGGCTGTTATCAAACAATGTCAACAAAATTATATATACTTCAAATAAAACACCACAGTACAATATTAAAATTGAACCTGTGTGGTTAACATGTCCATTGCAGGAACAGTGTCATTGATCTTGTAGATTTGAACTCCGCTCTTGCAACTCTGTGTTCGAGAAGTCGTGCAGCTCTAGTGCAATCTTTACAATCCACATTGGGTACGTTTTAATGAAATTAATAAGTTTCTACATAATGTGAACAATTGAATTTTTTTAAAAAAAAAGTAGTGTACATTCAGCTCTTCCAATTAGAATTATGAACCTTAATATTCAATGTATTAAAGTGAGCGTGTGCCTCTCATCGGCAAGGTCTTTCATAGGTTAGGAAAAAACAATTGTCTGTTCTATTAGCCACCACATTTGGCTAAAAAAACTAAAAATACTGTGACGTATATAGAACACATGCTGAAGTACAGTAGTAAGAAACTAATTCTATTATTCACGTTCAGAAATTTCTGAATTCAGATAGTGGTGTATTAGTTAGTACCACACCAGTCATTCTGATCCTAACGGGACTCAGTATCACCTCATCCTAAATTAATGACGTTTTTTAAAAAAGACCACTGCAGCTGCCTTTTTTATTGACTTGATACTGGTTGGTATTTTTTAAAAATAGAAATTGATCTTTTAAAAATGGTTTGAGCTGCTAATCCTATGATCAGAAGTAAGTGATTTCCGAACTGATTTGGTATTGCAGCAGCGGTTGTGCTGGCAGTGATTTTCCTGCACAGGGTCATGATAAACCTTTTTTACCAAAACTGACCCACTGAGCAAAAGAGTTTCACAATCCCACAACAAGCAGCACTTGCTGCTGAATCTACCATAGCCTGATGTTTAACCTACAAACACATTAAAAGTGAGAGTAGAAATGGATTCTAAAATTGCTTCACAATCTTGATCTTTAGAATGTAATCTTCTGGTCACAGAGGAGCCCCATTGAGGATTTTTTTTTCTGCAAAAGTGGAATGTGTAACGAGCAGCTAATCATCAATTTCTTACAATTTGAAGATTGCTACGAATGGAAACATGCATTTATCTGGAAACGGGGCGCTCTTCAGTTTGTTAGTGGTTATTGTATACGGCTGTCTACACAGATCATATCCAAAATTAAAACATACAGCAGTAACTCTGTATCGTGTATTTAAAAAGTCTCCCCATGGTTACTGAAATCTCCTAGTTTCAGATATATTAAAAAGAGAAGCTCGGCGCTGCGGTTAAGTTGTTGTGCTTTTCCCATTAGTATAAATCGTCTTAGAGTTTTTGCGCTTGGCATAGTGGACACGTAGTAAGACATTAGACAGCACATCCTGGTAATAGCTGAGCAGCAACCAGCCGGGTAAGTACATCAATGTGATGAGGCCCATGAAATTGAGGGGATAGTGAGAGTAATCCCAAGAGCAGGCATCGTACAGGCGGAGCCCGAGTCCCCAGGTGAGCTCCCAGGTGTAGATGCAGAGGATGTAGACGGGCAGCCTCTGCCAGGTGTTCCAGCCCCAGCGGTAGTGCAGCTGGAAGTAGAGCTTCTCCACCGCGAAGCTGCAGCTGCCGTACATTAGGAAGGACCAGAGCGAGGTGTGGCCCAGCAGCCGGCCGTCCGCCGCCTCCACCAGGTTGAAGATGGAAGTGAAGACGATCTCGTCCAGGAAGCCGTGCATGCCGTAGAAGACGAAGCGCAGCGAGCCGGGGAGGCCCTGAAGCGGCGGCTGGCGCTGCCCGGGAGCCGGGCACTGACACTGAAGCCGCAGGAAGCGCTTGAGGAAGAGCTGCGAGTCACACAGGGCGAGCAGGTAGTGGAGCAGCAGTAAGCTGGTTCGCGGCTCCCCGCCGGCCCCTAGCGTCGCCAGCGCGGTCTGCAGGCTCACGTACGCCGACGGGTAGAGCAGCAGGTGGAAGAGCAGCGGGCGGCGCTGGAAGAGCCTCTCCTGCAGGTACAGCCTCTCCAGGGCCAAGTGAGCGAGCGAGTGCAGCACGCCGAGGTACGGCGACGAGAAGCCGAGCATCTTCGGGTCGCTGGTGCTCACGAAGCGCTGCGCCGACGACAGCACCACGTCCAGGGCGATGCCGTGCATCCCGTAGAAGTACAGGCGCATCCATGTGGGAAGGCACGGACCGGTGCGGACGCCGCTTTCAGCACCGGACAGATCCTGGAGCCGGCCCGGGCCAGGGCTAGCGGGCTGGCGGCTCTTGGTGCCGCTCGGAGCCGGGCGATCCGCCGATGGCAGCCGCTGAGCCTCGCGCCGTTTGCTGTTCATGATCCTTTGCTGCTGTACCGTGCAAATGGGCTTTTCCAATACCTCCAGCAAATTACCCACGCCCTCTTTTTTTTCAGGGAAAAGCAAATAAAAAATATAATACACCGCTCTTTGCGAAGAAATAAACACGGATGCGCAAACAAAAAACAGAACCTAAACAACTAGCTCATATTGTCCTTTAAGAAGGTTAGGAGCTTTGCTGAAACATTGAGCACTGGTTACCTGGCAGCAGCTGTAACTCAAACTACAACCCTGCTGTTTGCAGCAGCCTCAGCTAATGCAGACGTAACGTTTGCACTCAACACGTCGCACCTCAGACGCAGTTATCTTCCTCCCTCCTCCCTCTAAATTTCCCTCGAACCCAGCAAGACCTACAATGCAATATCCTCCTACTTCGCCCCCCATCAGTTTTTGTACCGTTTCCCTGGGCATTTTGCTTTTTTTTTAATGGTAAATCCTGCGCACGCCCCATCGTACTTAAAACGTACACGCTATTTTGCAGGAAACGACAGTTTCTTCCCCCCCCCCACCACAACGTTTCTCCACTTTGATACCCTGCTTGGAAATTGACCAACGCCACCTCAAGTTATATTTGCATTTTAAACGACAGCCTCAAGAGGGTGTAAAGGGTTTTCTGAAGAAGCGTCTACGCCCGAAACGTCAGCCTTCCTGCTCCTCTGATGCTGCTTGGCCTGCTGTGTTCATCCAGTTCTACAGCTTGTTATCTCAGATTCTCCAGCATCTGCAGTTCCTACTATCTCCAGCTTCAAGAGGGGTTCAGACTGTGTGCAGGTATCTGATTGGGCAGAATAATCCCATGGGTTGTGGAGAATGCATCTGTTTAAATTCACCAAGGACTTCACTTCCAGTTCTGAGGAAGGGTCACTGGACCCGGAAACTCTGGTTTCTCTCCACAGAGGCTGCCAGACCTGCTGAGCTTTTCCAGCAATTTCTTTTGTGTTTCTGCCAAAAGAGCAGTTTAAGGTTTTAGAATCTTTGGTTCCAATTGACAAACACCATGCATTGGCTTTATTGAGATAGCTTTACCAGTTTTTCTGTACACATCAAAATTGCCCCTTTAATCTATTTGTAGAGGTTGTTACAGAATAGTGTTTAGTTACTTTGCTGGACCCCAGAAATGAGAAGAGAAACTCAGCAAGTTTTGGGAGGTGGTCAGGTTTTGTTTCCACTTTTTGATGTCAAACCTGTGCAGATTTTCACTATTACACTTTCTTGGATATTTATCAAATCCCTGAAAAAGTTTTCATAAATCGATTAATTAAACAACGCATGAACCAACCTGCTGAAATTTGCTAAAACTTACTCACTCATCAAGAATGACCTCCTGGGTTCATTTTCCTTGCTTGTTGAAACCTGTGTTGTGCAATGGGAGTTCTGTCACAGAGTCATAGAGACATACAGCATGGAAACAGCCCCTTCAGTCCAACTTGTCCATGCCGACCAGATATCCTAAATAAATTTAGTCCCATTTGCCACCATTTGGCTCATTTCCCTCTAAACCCTTCCTATTCATATACCCATCCAGATGCCTTTGAAATGTTGTGATTGTACCAGCCTCCACCACTTCCTCTGGCTGCTCAATGTTGCCCCTCAGGTCCCTTTTAAATCTTTCCCCTCTCACCTTAAACCTATGCCCTTTAGTTTTGGACACCCCACCAGGGGGAAAAGACCTTCTCTATTTACTCTATCCATGCTCCCCATGATTTTATAAACCTATAAACGGTCACCCCTCAGCCTCTGACCCCCCCAGGGAAAATAGTACCAGCCTATTCAGCCTGTCACTATAGCTCAAACCCTCAAACCCTGGCAATATCATTGTAAATCTTTTCTGAACGCTTTCAAGTTTCACAACATCCGTTCTGTAGGAGGGAGACAGAATTGCGCACAAAAGTGGCCTAACCAATGTCCTGTACAGCTGCAACATGACCTCCCAACTCCTACACTCGATGCACTGACCACTATCCTATCTATCTGTGACTCCACTTTCAAAGAACTATGAACTCCAAGGTCTCTTTATTCAGCAACAATCCCCAGGACCTTACTATTGAGTGTATAAGTCTTGTGCTGATTTGCCTTTCCAAAATGCTGCACCCCACATTTATCTAAATTAAGCTCCATGTGCCACTTCTCAGACCATTTGCCCATTTGATCAAGTTCTTGTTGTAGTCTGAAGTAACTTTCCTCACTGTCTATTACACCTACAATTTTGGGGTCATCTACAAACTTATTAACCAAACCCTCTATGTTTATATCAAAATCATTTATATAAATGACGAGTGGACTGAGCACCGATCCTTTTGGCACACTGCTGGTCACAGGCCTCCAGTCTGAAAAGCAACCCCCTACCACCACCCTCTGACTTCTAGCTTCGAGCCAGTTCTGTATCCAAATGGCTAGTTCTGTCTGTATTCCATGTGATCTAACCTTGCTAACCAATCTACTGTGAGGAACCTTGTTGAACATCTTACTGAAGTCCAGAGATAGTAGGAACTGCCGATGCTGGAGTCTGAGATAGCAAGGTGTGGAGCTGGAGGAACACAGCAGGCCAGGCAGCATCAGAGGAGCAGGGAAGCTGACGTTTCGGGTCTGGACCCCTACTGAAGTCCATATAGTCCACCGTTGTGCCCTCATCAATCTCTTTCGTTACTCCTACAAAAAAACTCAATTAAGTTAGTGACACGTGGTTTCCCACAGACAAAGCCATGTTGACTATCCCTAATCAGTCCTTGCCTTTCCAGATACACGTAAATCCTGTCCCTTAGGATTCTGTCCAACAACTTACCTACCTCTGATATCAGGCTCACTGGTCTATAGTTCGCTGGTTTTTCCTTACCACCTTTCTTAAATAGTGACACAACAGTAGCAAACCTCCAGTCTTCTGGCACCTCACCTGTGCTTATCCATGATACAAATATCTCAGCAAGGGGCCCAGCAATCACTTCCCTACATTCCCACAGTGTTCTAGGATACACAGGATCAGGTTTGGGTGATTTATCCACCTTTATGCATCTTCAGCCATGTAGAACCTCCTCCTCCATAATCTGGACATTTTTGAAGATGTTGCTATTTATACCCCCACATTCTATATCTTCCATATCCTTCCCCACTGTGAACACTGATGCCAAATACCCATTTGGAGGTCAAGGAGGAATTAGCAATCAGACGTCACTTCAGCATGTCAAGTTGACTCATACATCAAGCTGAAATGTGAGCTCTTTTTCTCTTCCTATAAATGCTGTCTGATCTGCTTTGTTTTTATTTCTAAAGTTTTCTGGATTCATCCAGGAAGAGTAGGCAAGTTGTCACCAAGAAGGGAACATTCCCCAAAGCCCAAGCGTGCCAACAATGATTAGGACACATAGATAGGAGAGCTGGATGAATGGATGCTACTCCCCTTTCATCATATGAAAGTAATGAGGATCAGAGGAACCTTGATGTGCATGTCTATAGATCCTTGAAGCCAACAAGACAAGTAGACAATGTAGTTAAGAAGGCATATGGAATACTTGCCTTTATTGCTCAAGGCATTGAATACAACAGCAAGGAGGCTATGACGGAGCTGTATACAATGTTCGTTAAGACACAACTGAAATATTGTGTGCAGTTCTGTTTGCCATACCATAGGAAGGGTGTGGTTACACTTGAGAGGGTGCAGAAGCAATTCACCAGGATGTTGCCTGGGTGGAGCAATTGAGCTATGAAGAGAGATTTGATGAGCTAAAATTGGTTTCCTTACAGCACAGATGGCTAAGGGGGTGATCTGATTGAGGTGAAGAAAATTCTGAAGTGCACAGACAGGGTAAATAGGGAGAAATTTACCCTAATCGTAGAGGATCAATAACCGGGGGCAGAGTTTTAAGGTAAGGAGAAAGAGGTTTAGCAGTTATTTGAGGAAAAAGAAATCACAAGAGGGTTATGGGTATCTGGAACTCACTGCCTAAAAAGGTGACCGAGACAGGAACCCTGAAGACATTTAAGGACTATTCAGATAAGCATTTGAAATGTAATACCATACAGGGTCTATGGGCCAAGTGCTGGAAAATAGGATCAGATCAGATGGATGTTTGATGACCATGTGGATGTGATGGGCTGATAGGCCTCTTTCTAGCCTGTAAGAACTCTATGACTCTGTGGCTTTATTATATATGGAAGAATGGGTGTTGTTCCGAAAAGTACTTTTAAAAGTATCTGAGGTCTGGGATAATATTCCTTTCTCAGTCAGTACCTTTACAAATAAATTATCATCTCATACTTACGTTAATATTTGCTCTTGGCATGTTAGTATTACTGACAAGGCCAACATTTATTGCCCATTCCTAATTGTTCACAAGAGGTAATGGTTAACCACCTTCCTGAACAGCTGTAGTCCATGTGGTATAGGTATATCCACAGTATTGTTAGGGTTTCATGATTTTAACCCAGCTGTAGTGAAGGAATGATGATGTCCTTCCAGGTCTTGATGGTGTATGGCTTGGAAAGAACTTGGAGGTGGCAGTGTTCCCCTCTGTCTGCTGTCTTTTTTGTGGTAAATTGTAGAGGCTGTGGTTTTGAAGGGTGCTGTCAAATGACCCAGGGTAAATTGATGCAGCACTGTTGCACTATGCATCTGTGGTGTGGGAGTGAATATTTAAGGTAGTCAAGTGATGCTGATCAAATTGGCTTCTTTATCTTGGAAGGTCTCTAAGCTTCTTGAATGTTGTTAAAGCTACCCTCATCCAGGCAAGTGGAGATTATTCCTTCACAATCCTGACTTGTACTTCGAAGATGGTGGACAGGCTTTGGGCTGCCAGAAAATGAGTTACTCACTACAGAATTCCTTGTCTCTGACCTGCTGTAGTCCAGTTCAGGTTCTGATAAATGGTAAACCCCATGACATTGATAATGAGAGATTCAGCAATGGTAATTCTGATAGTATCAAGGAGAGATGGTTAGGTTTATTCTTGTTAGAGATGGTCTGGCTTTTGTGTGATTGAATGTTG